AGTCAAGTGGACAAGTGGACCCTCTCAGATCTGGTCTTGCTCGAGCTATGCAGATGCCTCTCAGGGAGACGTGGGGACCTGTCTATTATAATGACCAAGCCCACATCGGGGGGTGGGGTGGCAGACTTTCATCTCTCAGCCCTTTTCAACCATTGATCTACTAAACTGGAAACACACTGAACCCACCACCTTGCTCCCGGCAGCTAGAGCCCTGTCAAGCATGACTGTATACAGGTGTTGGACTCAAGCAGACCTGACCTCCGGGACCAGCCTTGGGCATCGGTAGACTGGGAGCTATATGCGGACAGGAGCAGCTTCATCAACCCACAAGGACAGAGACGTGCAGGATATGTGGCGATAACCCTGGACACTGCTGTTAAGCTGAGCTCATTGCTTTAATTCGGGCCTTAGAACTCAGTGAAGGTAAGACTAAATATTTACACTGACTCTCGGTATGCCTGTTTAACCCTCCAAGTGCTTGGAGAATTATATGTATATATAAAGGTCCTGTTAAACTCTAGGAAAAAGGGGAAAAAAGACCCAGAGAACGCAACTCAGACTCGGTGTTTGCAGCGGTACCAAGAGGCACTTCTGCAGAGGCTAAGAGTTGGTAGAAAAAAAGCAATTAATATACAAAAGATTTCAGAAGTGCTTCAAGGAGCTGACAAGAACCTAAGTCAGTTTTATAAGAGACTCTGTAAAGCATTCTGGCTTTATAACCCATTTAGCCCCGAGGCTGGTGGCTCACACCTATAATCCCAGCATTTTGGGAGGCCGAGGCAGGCAGATCACAAGGTCAGGAGATTGAGACCATCCTGGCTAACACGGTGAAACCCCGTCTCCACTAACAAAACACACAAAAATTAGCCGGGCGTGGTGGCAGGTGCCTGTAGTTCTAGCTACTCGGGAGGCTGAGGCAGGAGAATGGCATGAACCTAGGAGGTGGAGCTGGCAGTGAGCTGAGATTGTGCCACTGCACTCCAGCCTGGGCAACAGAGCGAGACTCTGTCTCAAAATAAAATAAAATAAAATAAAATAAAATCAGCATATAGTGAATACTTCATTTGCAAAGAAAGCCCAGGGTAACATCAAGCAGAAGCTGCAGGCATGAATATCACCCAGTCTATAAAACTGGCCACCAAGGTGTATATTAACTGTGACCAAGGAACAAAACAGGAAAGAGCAAAAGCAACAAGCGTGGCAGGTAGAAACGCCAAAGGTTAAATCCCTCTCCCCAGCCCAGCGCTATCTAGAAAAAAAGAGGAGGCTAGAGACCGGTGTCAAGAGAAGAGCAAAACAAAAAGAAAGACTAAAAGTAAGTGTAAAAAAGAGAATCAGAAGAAAACAGGAGAGACAGACAGCAGTGCCCATGCCATTGCGCGGCCCTGCCTGTTGGCCATAGGAACAGGAGAACTTAGGAAGGAAAAAGAAAAATAAATTAAAGACTTCAGAAAAAAAGTCAATCTGTTAGCAACAGCTCTTATAAAAAGAGAGATTAGCAATGTGAGAGGATGTGGACGCAGATGTAGACGTGGAAGAAGTCAAGTTAGGCAAGGATTCAAGAGCCAGACAAGGCTAGAGAGAGAATAATGTGTGAGATACAAAAAGAAGGGACACTAGAAGGGTGAGTGTTCAGAAGGCAATAAAGGAAAGAGCCAAGGCTGCAAGACAAAGAGGCCAAGGACTGCTGTACCTTGGAGGAACCAAATACTGATCTGATCAGGCTGGCAGGAGCTAAAGAATGTAAAGACTAGGGCAGACTAGGCACCTTCTCATTAGGCTCCCAGGAGGCCCTGGTCACATTAGAAGTTAAAAGCAGCAGGATTCTGCCACATCTGGATTCCAATTTCTTACTGATGGCTAAGCCACTAGATAGAGTTACAAAGGGAGGGAAGAAAAAGAACCCCTCCTCTAAGAAACTTAAACAGGAGAAAGAGCCATTCCTTGTGAAAACTTGCTTACAGACTTCACAGAACTGCCCCGTGCTGGAGGCTATTGCTACATCAGGGTAAGTTAAAGTTTTCCCCACCAGGACAGAAAAAGTACAAGAAGTGACTAAAGTACTATTAAAAGACATTATCCCCAGGTTTAGACTGCCTCTAACTTTAAAGTCAGACAATAGGCCAGCCTTTGTACCAGAAATACTGCAAGATTTAACAAGACTGTTAAAAATAAAATGGAAGTTACATACAGCCTATTGGAAGCAAAGTTCACGAAAATGTGGAACACACGAACTAGACGCTCGAGCAGCTACTGAAAAAATATTGCCAGGAAATTCATTTAAGATAAAATCAGGATTTTGCCTATGATCCTCCTCCGAGTCAGATGCACCCCCACCAAACAAACTAGGTATTTGCCCTATAAGATTTTTTTCGGTCGGCCACCCCCAAATCATAGGTCAAATTAAAGGTGACCTCCAAGAACTAAAGGAATTAAACTTAAGAAAGCAAATGCAGGCCGGGCGCGGTGGCTCAAGCCTGTAATCCCAGCACTTTGGGAGGCCGAGACGGGTGGATCACAAGGTCAGGAGATCGAGACCATCCTGGCTAACCGTGAAACCCCATCTCTACTAAAAAATACAAAAACTAGCCAGGAGAGGTGGCGGGTGCCTATAGTCCCAGATACTCGGGAGGCTGAGGCAGGAGAATGGCGTAAACCCGGGAGGCGGAGCTTGCAGTGAGCTGAGATCCGGCCACTGCACTCCAGCCTGGGCAACACAGCGAGACTCCATCTCAAAAAAAAAAAAAAAAGAAAAAGAAAGCAAATGCAGACTTTAGAAATAGCCATTCAAAGTGTTTATAATTAAATACATAAAAATGCCTATAAGCCTGATACCCCTTTAAATCTAGTGACTCTGTTTAAGTTAGAGAGTAAAATCTAATTTTTCTAGGACCCATATAGGATGGGCCCTATACTGTAATCTTGTCCACTCCCACTGCTGTTAAAGTTGCAGGTGTTGTGTCTTAGATCCATCACAGTCAGTTAACACTGGCAGTTTAGGACAAGTAGACCAGCCAGCAGGATGCAGATCATCCAACCTGGCTGATCCTGAGACGAGACCAAGCTGCTGCTGGGACGACAGCCCTGCTCTGATCACTCCGGAGGCTGACCAGTCTACACACGGCTGAAGCCTGAGGAAACAACAAGCCTAGCTCTAGTCACACACCAGCAGCTGACTAGTCTGTGCTCAGCCGAAGCTTGAGGACTCATCGAGCAAGTAACTGTAGTTAAAAATCTTAAGACTAATAGTTTTCCTGTAATACTGTTTTCCTATTGTTCTGTCACTGTATTCAACCTTTTTCCCAGGTAAGGACCTCTTTTATCCTTGCTGGATATAAATATGCTGTACATCGTTTTGTTGTTGTTACCCCCCATAACCATGCTACAGGAAACACCTATATAAGGTGTCCCCACTGTACACATACTAGTCAGGAAACCCAGACCCGTCCAGCCCAGCAACAATTCCAAGTCTTTAAATTAGTCTTTAAACATATAAACCAGAAGTTACCAGAGCCTCCTCCTTTAGCAAAAAAAATAATAATAATAAAAAATAAATAAATAAAACCTATTTGCTCAGCTGGCTGAAAACACTGCCGGCAGCCTAGACGTTTCTTCATGTTATGTTCATAAAAAGGCTAACATGAGAGACCAATGGCCTTGAGAAGCAAAAGAGTTAATGCCTCAAGATAACTTTAACTCTTTCCCTAAGGAGACGCCAAGTTCAAGCATCTGGCTCTTAAAAACTTCTATTATTAAGAAATACTGTGTTGCTCGCTAGGGAAAAAGCTTTTAAGACCCAGTAAAAGAAGTAACCTGCTTAGGAAATGACAAAGTTGGCACATGTGCCTGTACAGGTTTAACACAGGTTTGATCCTAGGTCTTTATTTAGAAAATAGTTTCTAGCTATAGGAGAATTTAAAACCCTCATTGTAAGTGTATTACATAAAACACTGTCACTCTGTCTCCCAAAGAGACTCAGAAAGTAAAAATAAAAGTGAGAACTCCCACTAATTAGTGAAATTCTCAAAGAGGGGGGATAAGAAAGGAGACCACTACTACTCCTGCTGCCCTCTCCCCCCGCACCTTGCCTAGTTCACAAGACAGGAGGAAAGAAAGCAAAAAGTTAGAAAGAAGCAAAAAAAGTAAGATAAATAGCCAGACAACCTTGGCACCACCACCTGGCCCTAGGAGTTAAAAATAATAATAATAACAACATCAACTCCTGACCTAAACTACTTGTGTTACCTGTAAATTCCAGACACTGTATGAAAAAGCACTGCAAAACTTTCTGTTGTTAGCTGATGCATGTAGACCCCAGTCATGTTTCCCACGCTTGCTTGATTTATCACGACCCTTTCACGTGGACCCCTTAAAGTTGTAAGCCTTTAAAAAGGCCAAGAATTTCTTTTTGGGGGAGCTTGGCTCTTAAGTCGCAAGTCCGCCGACGCTCCCGGAATAAACCTCTTCCTTCTTTAATCTGGTGTCTGAGGAGTTTCGTCTGCGCTTCTCCTGCTACAGTAGGTGACAGATGACCTTCATCCCTCGTAGGACAACGTTACATCATTCTTATGAAACAGCCATGGCTGCGCTCAGATTTAGGAAGGCACTGACTGTAACGCTGGCACTAAGAGCAAACCAGAACCCAAGTGGAGAAAAGTGAGCTTTCATAAGAGGACTCATCTTCAACGCTCACAAACTTAGGCTCCCTGACTTTTACCGATAATCAGTACTGAGAACAATGCGTTCCAGACCCGCTGGCTGATGTTTGATTCTGTAACTATACCACTTCCAGAATTCTCTCAAAACTCAGCTCAGATCATGTTACTATCAGGCAGCAATGCCCCTTGGATGGCTCCACAGCGAATAAAACAAAGGTCAAATTCCTCATCCACACATTCCACAGTCCACAGGAAAGGAGCTCCAGCCGTGCCATTCTCATTTCAGGTCCCAGCACCCCGCCTCCATGACGTCAACGGGCCGCGCCACCGGGCTGCGTCATCTCGGCGCGCCGCTTCCAGGGCTCTACACCGGCCGGCTGCCATGGCGGAGGTGGGCCGAGCAGGCATCCGCGACCCAGGCGCGGTGCTCCCACGGGGCTTCTGGGCTGCGGTGGAGGTGTGGCTGGAGAGGCCGCAGGTGGCCAACAAACGGCTTTGCGGCGCCCGCCTGGAGGCCCGCTGGAGCGCTGCCCTGCCCTGCGCCGAGGCCCGCGGCCCAGGGACGAGCGCAGGCTCGGAGCAGAAGGAGCGGGGTCCGGTTCCCGGCCAGGGTTCGCCCGGAGGGGGCACGGGTCCCAGGCTGCGATCAGAACCCAAGCAGGGCATGGCATGTTGCGAACTTGAGGAGGCCCAGGGCCAGTGCCAGCAAGAGGAGGCACAGAGGGAAGCCGCCTCGGCGGCCCTGAGGGACTCCGGGCACCCCGGTCATGCTGAAGGAGACGAGGGCGACTTCCCCGCCGCAGATCTGGATTCGCTCTGGGACGATTTCTCCCGAAGTCTCGCCCGTGGCAATTCGGAGATGCTGGCCTTCCTCACCTGCTCCGGGGCGGGATCGCAGCCAGAGGCGCAGCGTGAGCTCGACGTGGTTCTCAGAACCGTCATCCCGAAAACTAGCCCACATTGCCCCCTTACAGCTCCCAGGAGGGAAATAGTCGTGCAAGGTAAGAGTGTTTTGATAGTAGACGGATACGATTAGATAAAAAAAGCATTCACAGAACTTCAGGTCAATGGAAAGGTCCTAAGGGTACTTGTTATGCCAGTTGTTCAGCGATGTCCTAGGGAGTTTGTTAGGTGTTTGATAGTTTTTTGAGTGCGCGCATAGAAATGTGTGTCCTTAGTTCAGAAGATGGGATAATTGGTTGGGTTGGTGTCTGGAAGGCTTTAAAGAGACAGTGAAGGACTAACTGGATATTGCGTGATAACTAGGAGTTTAGCAGGTAAAGCTGTAGGTGTAAAAGTGTTGGGGACCAGCCTCAACACCATCTGCAGGGTACCCAAAGTCCGGTGGCGACGAAGGAATGAGACGAGACAGGTTAAGAGTGCATAAAGAGTGGGGGCCAGGGGGCCAATTGCAAAATGGAGGCTGCAAAAGACCCAAAGTTCTGGTCTCCACACTATTTATTGAGTACAATCACTTAGATCTAAGAAGCGGACGTTCAGGGCGAAACGGTGAAAGGGAGGCAGTGCGTCATAGTAGTGGCGATTTAAATGAATCTTCTTTGTGCTCATACAGCATATCTTTAACTTATCGGAGAGTAACTAGTGGGAGCGGGGTTAACTAGGAGCCTGCATGTCTGGCCGCATTTCAGTGCTTCAAAGGAGTGTCTTTCTCCTTGAACACAGCGTTTGTAGATAAGACAGTAGGTCTCGCTCAGAGCATGGGAACATCGTGGCAATCAGAAGGCTTTCCTCCTCAGAGGCCTCTTGTGGCTTTCCACAACTTATTGTCTCATATTTTTATGGCCAATTATACAGGCACCCCAAAAGCCTTTTCCCCAACATAAAGGGAGCTATTTATGCTGAGACAAGAAACTGAGAAAGAGCATAATTACTGGATGGATGGGAACCTACTAGTCCTCAGCGTTTGTTAAATCTCTCGCATTTGTTTTTACTGCCCGTGACCTTGACAGTTAGCCTCAGCCACTCTTACCTCAAACTTTATTCAGCAGTGCGTGTTTCCTATTGCCACTGTAACAAATTACTGTAAATTTATTGGTCAGTATAAAAAATTGATTGTTTCAGTTCTGTAGGTCAGGAATCCCTGTTGGCTCTGCTGGTTTCTCAGCTCCGGGTCTCTCTCACAAGGCCAAAATCAAACAGCCTGCCGGCTGGGCTCTTATTTGGAGGTTCTGGGAAGGAATCTGTGGCCAGGCTGGTCTTGAACTCCTCACCTCACATGATCCGCCCGTCTTGGCCTCCCAAAGTGGGGTTACAGGCGTGAACCACTGCGCCCGGCCATGATTGTACATTTTTAAATAACGAAAAGAGTGTAATTGGATTGTTTGTAACACAAAGGATAAATGTTTGAGGGGATGGAGGCCCTATTCTCCATGATGTGATTAGTTCACATTGCAGGCCTGGATCAAAACATCTCATGTACCCCATGAATATATGTATCTGCTATGTACCCACAAAAGTGAAAAATTTAAACATTTAAAAAATCGAAATTTGTCATTGTGTAGTGACAACAGTGACAGCAGATTTGGGGTTGCCACACTGGGTAGGGAGGGAGGGGATGCTGCTGACATCTACTGGGTAGGGCCAGGGCTTCTGGTAAACATCCTACAGCGCACAGCACAACTCCCAACAAGAAGGAGTTATCCAGCCACAAATGCCAGTGATGCTGAGGCTGAGAAACCCTGATCCAGAGGATGGGGAAAATAATACTGGATGATAAAGATGTGAGTTTTATTTTACTTTATTTTTTGTATAAATAGGGTCTTAGTATGCTTCTTAGTCTGGTCTCTAACTCCTGGTTTCAAGTGAGCCTCCCACCTTGGCCTTCCAAAGTGCTGGGACAACAGGCATGGGCCATCATGCCTAGTCCTCTTGCAGTTTTTAAATGAGATAATTCATGGAAAGAATGATGCATCGTGTCAATCCTCTTCTCTCTGGTCTCATTCACAGTAAAAACTGTAGTTCTGTGAACCGCAAGGCCCTGTGTGACCTGGGTGGGCCCTGTTACCCTTTGATTTCACCTGCCACCACTTGTTACCTTGTCCACACCGCTTACCTCCATTCCCCAGGCACCTGAGCACACGCCTGCCCCAGGGCCTCTGCAGTTGCTGCTCCTGTGTCTGGAACACTCTTCCTCTAAGTGCCCCATGGCACACTCCCCGACCTCCTTCGGCTCTCTGCTCAAATGTCACCTTATTAGGGAGGACTTCCCTGGCCACCCTGTATTCCATAGCAGTAGACTCTGGTTGTCGGAGTTTTCTCGGCCCCACACTGCTTGCTTTCCATCTGAATCCACTCAGCCCCTTCAGCCTCTGCTTCCCTTTGGCAGGTCTTGTTCTTTCATTTGCTGTGGAAGGTGAACCGCAGTTGTTCATACTTGGCCTGTGAAGTGTATATTCCTCTTAAACTGAGAGTTTGCCATTATTTTTAAATATCAAAGGTAAACACGATTGATTTTAGAGATAGAACTTTATACAGCCAAACCTTAAGTATCCACACAAACTGACAGAATGCTGTAAATTTAGCTAAGGAGTATGCCACTCTGCTTATATTTTAATGGGAAGGTGACTGCGGAGTCCCTCCATGCAACGAGGGCTCCACACAACATAAAGCCGTTGTTAGGAGGGCCTGGACTGATGTCCACTTTCCTGAACTGGCCTCTGATGGCTGAGCAGTGTTCTGTGCCTTGCTCACACTCGAAGATTGTGGTCAGGCTGTGGCAGACGTTCATCTAGGGCAGAGGTCCCCTGTTTTCTCTGATTGTAGCTCTCAAGTTCCAACAGAGTCCCCGTTGGCTGGTTCTTCCCTCAGGTCCTGGCTCATGTGTCCTTCAACAGATACCTGCTGAGAATGGCTGCCATGTGCCTGGCACATTCTAGGCTCTGGGCTGTAGCAGTGAATGAAAGGCAACAGCTCCTCTCCTGGAGTGCCACTGTGGGTAGAGTGCTGGGCATTGAGAGCATCGTGCCTGACTCATCCCTATTTTTAATACTGCTTCTCATGAGATGGTAGCTAGGCAGTTGTAATTTGTCCTTCTTCTCTTTTTCTTTCCAGATGTCCTCAATGGAACTGTAACGTTTTTGCCTTTGGAAGAAGATGATGAGGGGAAGTTAAAGGTTAAGATGAGCAATGTATATCAAATTCAGCTCAGTCATAGCAAAGAAGAATGGTAAGAGCTGGATAGTGGACTCCTAGTTTTATGGTTTCCATTGAGGATTTCTTTAGGTAGCCAAAGGATTCTGGGTTGCCAGAGAGCTTAAGGTCCTGTCTCTGAGGTGGTTATGGTTTGTAGGAATGCAGTTGCTAGCTCGTGTGCCCATGCCATGTTGCTCTTCCTGTTGGTGCCTCGAGTCTGGGTGGTCACAGCCTGGCTGGGGTCTCTGATCTCTACCTTCCCTGTGGCTGTGATGTTCAGCAACCCTCAGTGTTAGCTCTGAAGTCAAATACACTCAAATTCCTTTATTGTTATTGTTGTTATTATTATTATTATTGAGACGGTCTTACACTGTTGCCCAGGCTGGAGTGCACTGGTGCCACCTCGTTTCACTGCAGCCTCTACCTCCTGCATTCAAGTGATTCTTGTGCCTCAGTCTCCCGAGTAGCTGGGACTACAGGCACCCACCCCCACACCCAGCTAATTTTTGTATTTTCAGTAGAGAGGGGGTTTCGCCATGTTGGCCAGGCTGGTTTCAAACTCCTGACCTCAGGTGATCCACCTGCTTTGGCCTCCCAAAGTGCTGGGATTATAGGCATGAGCCACGATGCCCAGCCTATTTTGTTATTTTTTATGACTTAGTAATGGGGAATAGTTGATGCTTCCTTCTGTAGTAAGTATTCAGTGATACTTACTATAAAGCAACAGTTTAATAAGCACCCTTAATTCCATGTGGTATTTGGACCTGTACAGAAATTATGAAATTTAATTCATACTGCTTTTTGTTTTGTTTTGAGATGGAGTCTAGCTGTGTCGCTCAGGCTAGAGTGCAGTGGTGCGATCTCGGCTCACTGCAACCTCCGCCTCCCGGGTCACGCCATTCTCCTGCCTCAGCCCACCGAGTAGCTGAGACTACAAGCGCCTGCCACCATGCCCAGCTAATTTTTTATATTTTTAGTAGAGACGGGGTTTCACCGTGTTAGCCAGGAAATGGTCTCGATCTCCTGACCTCATGATCCACCCGCCTCGGCTTCCCAAAGTGCTGGGATTACAGGCGTGAGCCACCGCGCCTGGCCTTGATTGTTTGGTATTTTTAAAACAAAAAAGTCAGAGGAGGGGTGAATTCATTCATTACTCGTCAATTGATATTTTCCTGAGTGCGACATCCAACCTGTACTTTCTGAAACAGTCTTGGGGATAACGTCTGAGTAACTGGAATGAGTTTGCCTGGGGCTTCCTAGAAGGCAGAGAAGTGTGGCCAGAAGAGTGTGGGCTTCCCACTAGCAGTGTGGTCTTGGGTATGTGCTCTACCTCCTGGCCCTCCGTCTGCTCACCTTGAAATGGGTTTAATCATTCCTAAGCCTCTGAGGAGGTGGCAGGGCTGGGCCTCACATGGACCTGTTGCAGCCTTCGCGCTTGAAAAGGGCACTCAGGTCCTGTAGCATGAAGCCCTTTGAGAACCATCCAGAGGTTGCCCCTAGTTGTCAGGGGATCCTGTCCTGAGGTCCCTTCCTGCCAGCATGCCCTTGTTGGAGAGTGGGGAGGGACAGTAGACACTAGGAGAAGCCAGGCTTCCCTGTGCCAGGCACCTTTGTGCTCGGCGATGCTGAGCTGTGTGCCCGTTAGCCCGAAGGTGGTGCCTGTCTTGGGTGCAGTGGGCACCCGGCGCAGGGCGGGGTTGCAGGAGGTGCTCGGCATGTGCCTGCTGCATTGGAGTGACCTTCACTGCTCTTTGATGAGCTACCGAGGACATGGCTGCTGTCCCTGCCTTCCCAGGGTGGCATTTCTAGTCGTAGCCTCACCAGGCAACTGTTCCTCGCAGTCTCTGGGCACAGGCCACACTCGAGGGGCCAGCTGTATTGCCTTCTGAGTTGAACACAAATGAGAGGCTCCACTGCCGACGTGCGTGCTTCCTCGCAGCTCGATGCGTTTTCAGCAACATTTGTTACATGCCCAGCTTGTGCTGGGGCTGGGCACCCAGCGGGAAGCGAGTCTCCTGGGGCGGTGGAGAATATGCTCCCATACCACGTGGTGAAGGGAGGAAAACAACTGAGCAGGACTGTGTCCCCTCATTAGAAATGGCAGTGTGTGGCCAAGGTATGTGGGAAGGCCTCTGAGAAGGGACATGGAAGAGAGGTGGATGAAGGAGGAGGCCATGTGGACCTCTGGGGGACCCTGGGGAAGAGCACGAGGCCCAGGGAAGAGCGAGGAGTGCCCCTTGGGCAAAATCTGTCTGCAGTGCGCAGGGGCCACCAAAGTTAGCATCAGGCCCAGCAGGAACGCTTCTGACTGAGCGGGACAGACCTCACAGTCCCGAGGAAGGAATTGGGCCAGGGGAAAGGTTCAGACCCACTCTGGGGTCACTCTCTGGAGAATGTTCTGGAAGTGACTTGTGTCCCTCTGAGGCACCGTGGCGGCAGAAAACCTGGACACCACAGCGCTCACCAGATGGACCACAGGCCATTGTCCCTGCACCAGGGCCGTGCTGCTGCTGCGCCCTCAGCGCTCCTGTCAGGCCCTCCGGCTCTTCCCCGCTCACCCAGTGGCTGGGTCTGCTTGTTCTCAGGAATGTCCATTGAATGACGCTTTTATGGTAGCTTTCTCTCATCTGCCCAGCAAACTTAATGCCCTCCCCTTCCTTATGCTGCCCCAAATGCAGCCCTTGGGCAGTGTATTGTTATCTGGGTTCGTGTCTGTCCCGCCAGTCCTCCCAAGGATTGTGAGCTTTTACTCATGTATTGAATGCATCCATGAACAGTGCCTGCCGTGTGTCAGCACTGCTGGGACTGGGGGGCGGAGCAGTGAGCTAGACAGACAGAAGCCCTGCCCTCGTGACCTTCTGATGGCAGAAGACATGTGAAAGGCAAAATAAGCCAGCAAAATGCACAGCGGCCTGTGGCTGAGCACTTCACTGTCTGGCAAGTAGCATTCAGTGAGCCAGTGTACTCATTTGAGTTGCACGTGTGAAAATGCGTAAAGAAATGTTAGGAAGATCCTCGGACGCTTAGACTCTGGCTTCTTGTGCATGAAGCAGCAGGCGAGAGTCCTTTATTTGTTCGGCTGCCTCAGGGGCTTCCCGGGTGTGTAAGTATGTTCTTAACAAAGTTTGCAAGAAAAGAGGATTCTCTGTGCTTTTTACATGTTTTTCTCTATTAGATGAAAGTTCTGTAACTAGTTCTAGTTCCTTTTATGTTTTTGGTAATATAATTATAGATGTCTTAGCTTCTGTTCTCTTCATTAGGTAAATAGATAATTTTAAAATAAGAATTAAACATATCTGTGCTTATTCATATTTCTCTTATTTTTAAAGGTTCATATCTGTTTTAATTTTCTGTCCAGAAAGATGGCATTCAGATGGAATTGTGTATCCCAAACCCACGTGGCTTGGAGAAGAGTTGCTGGCCAAGTTGGCCAAGTGGTCTGTAGAGAACAAGAAGAGTGACTTTAAAAGCACCCTTTCCCTCGTCTCCATTATGAAGTATAGCAAGGCTTACCAGGAACTTAAAGAGAAGTATAAGGAAATGGTTAAGGTAATTTTGGTGGAGAGTGTCTGTGACTTTTCCCCCTTCATGGTTTTGGGTTTTTTTTTTTTTTTGTGACAGAGTCTTGCTCTGTTGCCCAAAAAAAAAGGGCCAGAGTGAAGTGGCGTCATCTTGGCTCACTGCAGCCTCCGCCTCCCGGGTTCAAGAGATCCTCCTGCCTCAGCCTCTTGAGTAGCTGGGACTACAGGCACATGCCACCACGCCTGGCTAATGTTTTGTAGTTTTATTAGAGATGAGGCTTCACCATGTTGCCCAGACTGGTCTCGAACTCCTGAGCTCGGGCATTTCACCTGTTTCGGCCTCCCAAAGTGCTAATATTACAGGCGTGAGCCACCGTGCTCCACTCCCCCTTAACTGAAATGAGGTAAAATAATCAAACTTTGCCAGGTAAAATTGTTTTTCCTGTTGCAGGCTGTACTCTGACGTACTTAGGGGTGCACACAACAAAAACATAGATACATAATGGAAAAGTATTGATCTTGTATATTATTTATTTTCAAGAGACCTAAAGGGAAATATTTAATTGAAAAGTAATGGAACCTTGAAAAAAAATGGCTAAATTACCATAGTTGTTTGTATAAACCTAAAGATATTTTAAGAAAATATATGAAAAGTTAAAGTACAAAGGAGCAGTTCCCAAAAGGAGACACATTTCATGATAACATGCGCTTAAACTTTCTGAGACGTGAAAACAGCATAACAAGAAACATCTGTGTATGTATGCCCAGCTTAAGGCAGAAAGAAAGCATTGCTGGTAGAGTCAAAGCTACTTAATATTCTTCCAAGTTCCCATCTTCCTCCCCCTCCGAGGAGTAACCACAATTTGTCATTTCCATGGTTTTCTGTTTGTGTTTTGTTTTTGAGACAGGATCTCACTCTGTCACCTAGGCTGGAGTGCAGTGGTGCACCCACTGCAGACTCAACCTCCCGGGCTCAAGCGATTCTCCCAGCTCAACTTCCCTGGTCGCTGGGACCACAGGCGCATGCTACCATGCCTGGCTAATTTTTTGTATTTTTTGTAGACACAAAGTTTTGCTATGTTTCCCAGGCTGGTCTCAAACTCCTGGGCTCAAGTGATCCGCCTGCTTTGGCCTCCCAAAGTGCTGGGATTACAGACATGAGCAACTGTGCCCGGCTTCCATGTATTTTTTTAATCAGTCACCTCTTGCTCTGTAACAAAAGCACCCCAAAAGTCGCAGGCTTAAAGCTGTGACCTTTCATTATTGCTGAAGCACCTGTGGGTTGCGGGGGTTGGCTGACTGAGGCTGGGCTCCCTCCTGCATCCTGGCCTTGTGGCCCTTTGCCGTCTTGTTAGCTATTTAGTACCATCCAGAAGATACTTTTTGTTTTTCCAGCTTTTGAAATTGTTTCTAGTGAGACGGTTCATCTGGATTGTCTAAGGCACTATGACTGGAAATACAAATTTCAACTTTTAACATTGGCCATTGGTTTTTCCTCTTTTGCCTAATGCCAGTTCTGAACATGACTGCTTTTAATAATGAGAGCTCAGTTTTGCACAGCTAGTGCTTTACAGTTTTCAGAGCACCTTGATTATCCTGTGTGTTAGTTGAGGCATGGGCGTTATTCCTGTTTGACAGGTAGGGCGGCAGCAGCCACTGATGGACCAGGGGCTGGAGCACTGGTCTCCTAGTCCGTGGCTCGCGGCTTTCCCTGCCCTAGTTTCACTCCCGCCCCTCGTTTCCTTGTTCATTGCCCTCATCTGCATAGCCAGTGAGCACCGTGTAGCTGAGCGTTTCCTGTGTCCACTGTCTCAGCTCAGCGCCTTAGGTGCACTCTGTTGATTGTGAAATCTTGCTGTGGATTGTAGTGTTCTTGGCATGCCTTGTTTCTTTATGGAAATCTTTTATTGTAAGAAACCAGTTGTGAATTCCTGCCTTTGAGCTTGTATTTCCTATTTTAATGCACGATTAGTCCAGTTTGATTTATACTTTATAGAGATACTTAAGTATTGGGAAATGGTGGTGGAAAAACCGAACAATTTACATTTGCTCTTGAAACTGTTTTAGGTGTGGCCTGAAGTCACTGATCCTGAGAAGTTCGTGTATGAAGATGTGGCTATCGCGGCATACCTGCTGGTAAGGATGTGCACAACCGTAGCTTCTCTGGAGCGGGTGGAGGTTGCTACAGGCAGATGTTCCCAGTAGTGAAGGACATTTTCCGAATCCGTAACAGCCGGTGCTCACAGTTCTGCTGGCCAAGGTTGGTTACCCACGTAACAGTTTGACTTCATATGGTCCTTTTGATGTGTCTAGAACAAGTTTGGGTTGAAACTTGACCTCGGGTTCAAACTTGACCTGCAGGCGGAACTGTATGTCCACACTAAGCAGTCATCGTGGAGGCACCGTCTGGCACAGGGAAGCACTGAGGAGCACGTGTCTTCCAGCCCTGGCCTAGAACCTTCTAGCCCTTTCCTCAGCTGGCTCGCTAGCTGGCTACATTTGGACATGCCCTCTGATTTAATCATCTTGGTTTACTTATCTATAAGAATGTTTAGAGTAAGCTGGGTTCAGTGGCTCAACGCCTATAATCCCAGCACTTTGGGAGGCTGAGGCGGGCGGATCACTTGAGGTCAGGGGTTTGAGACCAGCCTGGCCAACATGGTGAAACCCCGTCTCTACTAAAAATACAAAAGTCAGTTGGGCTTGGTGGCAGGTGCCCATAGTTTCAGCTACTGGGGAGGCTGAGGCAGGAGAATTGCTTGAACCCAGGAGGCGGAGGTGGCAGTGAGCCAAGATCACGTCATTGCACTCTAGCCTGGGTGGCAAGAGCAAGACTCCATCTCAAAAAAAAAAAGAATATTTAATGTAGATAATTTGCAGTTTCCTCTCACTCAGAGTTTTCTTTGACCAGTTTGTGTCTGAATTATTCTTGCATAGAGTGAATTACTACCTGACTTTGTTATGTGTTTCTCTTCACTTAGATTCTGTGGGAAGAAGAAAGGGCCGAGAGGGGACTAACTGCCAGGCAGTCCTTCGTGGACCTGGGATGTGGAAATGGCCTCCTGGTCCACATCCTGAACAGTGAGGGGGTAAGGCCGGCTCCCTCACCTTTTCTGGTAACTTGTCCAGAGTTTCCTCAGGTCAGGCACAGGGTTCACTGACATCTTTTTCTGCTGGTACAGCCTGGATTTGGAGTTAGCCGGCTATCAGAGTAGGTAGGGACTTATAAATTTCTGTTAATTTGATAAACAGCTCGTAAAACAAAGGAAACGTGATAATCGAATTGGACCTAAGTGGAAGTCCCCAGGCCCCGGCGTGGACCTATAAAATGACAGGCTTTGAGTAGCGTGGATGTTTTTTTGCTGTCAGAAATTTCTTTTGAAACCCACCATCTCAAGGAGCTGGAGGGAGATAAAAAGCAAGGCAGGTTCTGCACTTCAGAAGCTTCAGGCCAGGCACGGGGCTCACGCCCGCAATCCCAGCACTTGGTTGGCTGAGGCGGGAGGATCACTTGAGCCCAGGAGTTTGAGACCAGGCTGGGCAACATGGTGAAACGCCATCTCTGCAAAAAAATAAAAACAAATAAGAGAAGCTTCAGTTCTGGCTCGGACGGCCAGTCATGTATACACAGACAACAGTATGGAACAGTGTGGTACTGGGTTTTGCCCCGTTTTCTGGATGTTCACCTGATGGAGTGAAACCAGTCTTGGGCTGAGAGCGGCACCTGCCCAGGGAGCACTGTCGGTAGGGGTGGGTCAGCTCTCGGTGGCTTGTGCCTGGAGCTTCCTGCCAGCAACTCCTACCCCTCCTGGTGTGTCCAGCGCACCGGGTGCCATTATCCCGTGATACAATGGCGAGCTTAGCCACTTCCTGCTAGGGAGCAACAGCTGGAACCTGCAGCCCAGTCTGGTGGTCCCAAGCTGATTTTCTTCCTGCTGTACTGTACGGTGCTGTACTGATGGGCTGCACATATTTGCCTACGCCTCCAAGGGCCTGAAATGGTTGTTACAATGCCCTTTTCAAGTGTGTTATTGAAGAATGAGTTTCTAATCATAATACCTGTAAGCTGGTTGTGGGGATGGTAGTGTATCAGGTGGCAGCTTGGAAGCTGGTACCTGGAGACAGCTGGGAGGTGTCTCATGCACTCCTCCTCTTCTGCAGGCTTGGAATAAATAAGTTTGCCCTGTGAGAGCCAGTGAGGGTGGCCAAGGTGCAAGAAGAGCAGGCAGCTGACCTTGACTAAGAGCAGAGAATTGGCTCATGTTCTCAGGTGTGCTCCCTGGGGCACTGCCCTGGAAATGTTCCCACGCTAAAGGCCACTGTGGTCACTCAACTCCATGGCCCATTTGAAGACTCATAATGACCATTAGCGGAGTACACCTTCTTACCTGCCTCGCAGGGGTGGGGGTGTCTGTTTCAGACAGCTGAGAAATCGTGCTTGTGCCATCCGCGAATGCTAATGACACACTTGAAAAAGGGCATTGTAACAACCATTTCAAGCTCTTGGAGGCGTAGGCAAATATGTGCAGCCCATCAGTACAGCACTGTACAGTACAGCAGGAAGAAAATCAGCTTGGGACCACCAGACTGGGCTGCAGGTTCCAGCTGTTGCCCCTAGTAGGAAGTGGCTAAGCTGGCCATCGTATCATGGGGTAATGGCACCTGGTGCACTGGACGCACCGGGAGGGGTAAGAGTTGCTGGCAGGAAACTCTTCTCTTGCCCTTCGTCCTGCTGGCAGTGCCTGCAGAGCTTTAATGTGTTCTTGCTAACTTATTATGAAGTACTAAGCTTAACCTTTGATTTCTAAAATTAATGTTTTCA